CTGTCCCCAAGCCATGTCCCCTGTCCCCAGCCGTGTCCCCTGTCCCCAGCCGTGTCCCCCGCCGTGTCCCCTGTCCCCAGCCGTCCTCCCGCCGCCGCCACCCGTGGCGAGGGACGGATGACACGTCGTCGCCGCCGCGTGACCCCCGTGGGGACCGACTTCCTCAGCGCCTCCAAACCGGGGCCACCCCACATCCCTGCCCCACCTCTCCGTCACCTCCCCGGGGCGACCCGGGGGCCACCCCCAGCTGTCGCCTGTGGCGTGTCCGGTGTCCCCGGGTGTCCCAGGTGAGGGGCGGCTCCTCCCCGTCCCTCCCCTCGGCGCCTTCCCCGCGCCCGTCACCGGGGATTAGCGCAGGGACAGCCCCGGGCTCGGGGACAGGGGACGGGGCCACCCGCCACCTCGCCTGGATGTAGGAGGCCTGGCCGAGCGGTGACACCGAGGGTGACACCCCCATCCCGGCGGTGGGCGACGACGGGGACCCCCCCGCGCCCCCCCAGCCCTCGGGGGCACCATGAAGGACCGGCTGGAGCAGCTCAAGGCGGTGAGAGAGGGACCCCCGCGGACAGGGGACACCTCGTGGGGTCCCCAGGGCTCGCTGGAATGGGAGACTGGCTCCCCAGGACCCCACCCCATAACGGGTGGGGGCGTCACGGGGAGGGGGGACCCCAAAACCCGAGTCCGCGGTGGGTGGGGACATCACTGGGGGGGGGACACACAGTAAGATGCCGTCCCGCGGTGCCTGGGGGCGTCACGGGGATGGGGGTCCCCAAGACCCCACCCCACCATGGATGGGGGCGTCACGGAGATGGGGGACCCCAAAACCCGAGTCCACGGTGGGTGGGGACACTGTGGGACGGGTGTCACCGAGGTGCCACCCCGCGGCGTGTGGGGGCGTCAGGAGGGTCCCCAAGACCTCTTTCCACGGTCAGTGGGAGGTCCTGAGCCCCCCCAGCAAAGGGGTGTCACGCGAGAGGGGGGGCCAGCCCTGTGCGGTTTGGGGGTACATCGGGTATTTTGGGGTGACATCAGCCCCCTCGACAAATCCTGTGTCCCCCCCACACACACCGTGGGGTGCAAAGAGGGGACACCAACACCCACCCAGGCCATGGGGGGCGGGACTGAATTTGGGGTGCCCGGGGGTGCCAGCACCCCATCCTGCCCCTCGCATTCCCGCCACCATCGCCGCTTCCTCATCCCTTTTCCCGCCCGGCCGTGGGGCTCCACTTCCCCCCTTCCCCGGGGGGCTCCCCTCGCTCCCCAGCGCCGGCTCCCCACGGGTTGTGGGGGTCCCAGGAGCCCCCCGAGCCGCGCCCCCGGCCCCCCGCCGCGGCAGGGAGGCTTGGCAGGGATTTACCGGGATTACGGAGCCATCAGATAAAGCCCTCGGGGGGGAGCGAAGGGATTAATTTTATTTTTACTCCAGCGGGCGTGGGGGGGGCGGGGGGTGGTCCATTCCCGGGGGTCTGGCCCCCTCCCCAGGACACCCCGACAGCACCCCCGGGGTGCTGGCGGAACCGAGGGGGGCGAGGGGAGGCGGAGGGGTTGGGATTGGGATTTTGGGATGGGGCGGAGCTGGGGGGGCTCGGGTGGGGGGCCAGGCGTGACACCAGGGCGAGGGGCACCGGCCACCTCTGTGCCCCCCAGGGCTGCTCGCGCGGGGCCACATTTGGGGCCACAAACCTCGTCCCAACCCCATCCCGCCGCCGTTCCCGTCCCCTCCCTCCATCCAAGCCCAGCAATCCCTTAATTCTCGGCCAGATGTGAGCGGAGCTCGGGGCCCCCCCCTCTCCGCTGCAGATGTCCCTCCCCCCCCGTGCCACCACATCCCCATGGCTGCTCCCCCCGTGTCCCCCGGCCCCCCGGGGGGGTCCCTGGGGGCGCTGGCGGGGCGGGGGTCACCCCCGGGCGCTGTGTCCCACAGAAGCAGGACGCGGATGACGACACGGAGGAGCTGGAGATCGCCGTGGACAACACGGCCTTCATGGATGAGTTCTTCTCGGAGGTGAGGGAGGGCTGGGAGAGGGGCTGGGGGGCGCAGGGTTGCCTCCTAACCCCCCTCCACCCCCCCAAAATCCTTCCTGGCGTGTCCAGATCGAGGAGACCCGGCAGAACATCGACAAGATCTCGGAGAACGTGGAGGAAGCAAAGAAGCTCTACAGCCTCATCCTCTCAGCGCCCATCCCGGAGCAGAGTGAGTGTGCTGACAGTGTCCCCAAGCGTCCCCTGGGTCACAGGGAGCCCTCCTGGGGACATTCCTCACCTCCACGGTCCCGCAGAGACCAAAGATGACCTGGAGCAGCTGACGGCGGAGATCAAGAAGATGGCCAACAGCGTCCGCAACAAGCTGAAGAGTGAGTGGCCCTGGGTGTCCCCGTCCCCATGGCTGTGCTGGGGACACTGGGACCGCGGGGTCTGGCAGCGGGGAAGGTCCCTGACGGGTTGGAATCCGGCTCTTTCCAGGTATGGAGAGGAACATTGAGCAGGATGAGGCGCGATCCTCCGCCGACCTCCGGATACGCAAATCCCAGGTGAGCTCCGGGCCCTGGGAGCCGCTCCTGGGGCTGTCCCCATCCCGTGTCCCCAGGTCCTGAGTGCCCTGTGCCACCCTGTCCCCTGTGGGCTGGGCATGTGGCATGGCCAGGTGTCCCCAAGCCTCCATTCCCTGTCCCCATCCAGTATCCCCAGGCCCTGAGTGCTCCCACGGGCTGGGGATGTGGCATGTCCTGGTGTCCCCAAGTCTCCCGTCTCTGTCCCCAGCAGCACCCAGTTCTCCCAGGCTCCCTGTTCCTCTGCCCTGTCCCCAGCACTCTGTCCTGTTGCCCTTGGGCTGGGACATGCCACATCCTCGGTGTCCTGTGTCTCATGTCACTGTCCCCACCCCTGGCTCTTCCTCCTGCCCTATGTCCCAAGGCTGGGGACATGCCATGCCCAGATTGTCACCGGTCTGACTCCCTGTCCCCATCCAGTATCCCCAGGCCCTGAGTGCTCCCATGGGCTGGGGATGTGGCACGTCCTGGTGTCCCCAAGTCTCTCATCTCTGTCCCCAGCAGCACCCAGTTCTCCCAGGCTCCCTGTTCCTCTGCCCTGTTCCCAGCACTCTGTCCTGTCCCCCTTGGGCTGGGACATGCCACATCCTCGGTGTCCTGTGTCTCATGTCACTGTCCCCACCCCTGGCTCTTCCTCCTGCCCTATGTCCCAAGGCTGGGGACATGCCATGCCCAGATTGTCACCGGTCTGACTCCCTGTCCCCATCCCCAGCAGCCAGCCCTGTCCCATGGGGTTGAGACACGCCACGTCTGGGGTGACCCCATCCCTGTGTCCCCGTCCCCAGGGGTTGGGGAGGCACCGTGCCTGGCGTGTCCCCATCCCCGTGTCCCTGTCCCCAGGGGTTGGGGAGGCACCGTGCCT